AAAAAAACCCCCCCCCCCCCCAAAAAAAAATAAAAACAGTCAATAATGAACATGGTTAAGTTGACGGATGTACTTTAACCCCCCTCCCCCCAGCACACCCCACCATAGCAAACAGTCAATAATGAACATGGTTAAGTTGATGGATGTACTTTAACCCTTCGAATGTCCGATTCTGGAGTAGGATGTTCTTTCATACACAAGTAGCAAATCGTAAGAGGACGAGGTTGACGACCAAGTCAATAATATGCTTAAAGTGAAGAAGTAACTGCACCGTAGAAGTTCCTAAGCACAGTGGGTGGAGAAAAAGATCTTACCTTATTATTGAAAATAGTAACCCTATTTATACTGGTGGTAGAATGGTAACTTCGGCTGAGTATGGGATGACGGCCACATCAGCCTCTGCTTTACAGGTGTCGGCCGACGTGTGGAGGAGATGTCACTTCGGTTTTAATGCAAAGGGATTGGGGTGTGCGGTGCCGACATGGACCGATGTGTCATAAAGACTATTAGGGACAGATGAATGATAGCGCCCATAATGCATTTAATGACATTTATTACGAGGTGATGACTGTCAGTGCGCGGGGAGGGGCTCGGGGCTCGAGGAATTTCGTCGCCTTTTACTCGTCCGATGGTCGAGAAGTACCGTCATTTGAGTCGTCTTCACAAGATGTCAGCACTCGCGAAATGTCGGCGTGTCGAGTCGTCTGAGTTGGGTCTTGAGTTATTTTAAATTGTTGGCTCGATTACGCATAATGTGAAACACTTATCTGTCCTTGATTGAATATTACTTTTCAACACTAAAATGACTATTAACATTTGTCCTCATTGCAAAAACTGAATTAAAAATAAGGAATTAACTTACTTTTTACTATTTTATCAATTTTTTTAAAATATATAAAATAAAAAGTTCTGTTGAAAATATTAAAAAAAAAGATGAGGTGAAAAGAAGATTAATTAAACTTGAATTGGGATGGGAAGGGGAAGAGTAAGAGAGAGATAAAAGAGAGGGCAACTAGTCAGGACACTACCCACGGTAATACCGGTCAGAGAAACGGCTAGTATAGTTTCCCTAAGCTTGCAAATAATAGTGGTTTTTGCCATTGGAGAGGCTGAGCTGGACTTGGACCACTTAAATTTCTGAGACTTTTGACTTTATGGAAGCTATTCTATTTCCCTAGTGCTTACGATTATGACTTTTTTAAGTAATGAAACTCTGTAACAGTAAAGAAAATGAGTTTTTTAAGTAATGAAAACTCTGTAACAGTAAAGAAAATGATCGCAATTCACGAGGAATATGAGATTTAGAAATAATCTTAAACACCCATTGTTCTCCTCTTTTGAAAATTTGAGGAAACTTGGTAATAGACTGAATGGCAACTTGCATTGAACATATGCATAATATTAGTTTCAAGTGAAGATAATAAATTCAAAATTTTTAGTGTATAGATTATCTCTGTCTAATAATTATGTGAATTAGTTTTTTTTCTTTTTTCCTTTCTTCAGAATAGACTGTATTAACTCAAAGTGCGATTCAAACCCATGCACATTCAAATGAACTTTACTAGTACGGGAGAACAAGACTTTTCAACTTTATATTTTAACATTGTACAGTATGAATCGAGGCCAAACAAAAATTTTGTCATTAAAGATTCAGAACAGCAGGTAAGAGAGACAATTTGGTCGTGGGAGATTGAAGTGTGATAAAGAAGCATGAAGGGAGAACTAGCTTATTTTCCAGAAAAATACAGGCCTCTTTTCTTATGAGAGAGGCAGCATTTAATAACAAACTTGCTTTCAAATTCAGCAAAAGGAATAGTCATAGACATATAGATGTTTTTCAGGCTCGTCAATGAAATGACTAACTCTGAATATTTATATATATATAGTTTTAATGATCTTGTACAATTCTTCCATGACTGTCGGCTTGGATTTCCTAAAATGCCACTTTCTTAGGCAACGTAATGAGAATAAAGCCCCAAACAACAGACAAAGCCATAATTGCAGTCTAAGTCAATTGTCATTTTATTTACCAAAATTCTACCGTCTTCCTTCCCCATCTCCACACCATAATTCATGACTCATAAGTAGCAACTTCACTGAAGTAGGACAACTTAACGTCCTAAAATGCATGGAGATGACTCCATTCCGAACTTTTCCATATCAAAAGTGCAAAAGACTGATTCAAAACAAATATATTTGACAGCATGAAGGACTAATCCTTTTGTCAATAATTCAGGAGTAAATTTTTAAAAAAAAAAATCTCTAAAAGGAAAATAGCCTTGATGCTTTTAAGTTTCCTAACAACCTTCCAGCAATGCAGCTTAGTAGGAAGCTGTAATTTAATCAAGGAATTATTGGTTGTTAGGTGACTGCAGTGACTTTTGCAGAAGATAATAGATGAACATATCGGCTCTTCTAAGTAAATTATTATTAAGTTTTCTTCATTCGCACCAAACAGACTTACCAACTGATTCCACAGGATGGTACCATTACAAGAAACATTCATTTCCATAGTTCACCTAACTCCATCTCAATCTTCAATTGACCCAAAGTTAATTGATCGGTACACATTACATATTTCGTAAAGCACTTTACTAACAAAGAAGTTATACGTGTTTAATACACTAAACAATTTATCGCTACACGTGAATGGCTATGATCACAGAAAGATGACACAATGGCAACTGTGCTAATCTGACAAAACCACTCTCTACTCTAATACAAAATAAGCCACTTGAATTTGCAAGCTTTTAATTTCATTCCTAAATTTGCATAAAAAAATGTCAAATATCTGAATTTTGCAAAACAGCCAAAAATAGAAAAACTCTTAGCATGTATTGTAGCACGAAACACAAATAACATTAATCTCCTGTTTCTATTTAGCAGTGTGACATCAGTACCTTGCAATATTCTGACCAGCTAAAACATGGACACATCAGGGGGCGGTCCATAAACACTCATCCACGAAAGGGGAATAGTCCATCCTCCGGGTTCATTACCTGAGATTTCCAGCAATGAAGAATATCAATGTCAACAGTATACTATCTAAAGCATGAAAAGGGGGGAAAAGCAATATCCACTAACTTAATATGAAAGCCAAAAACTATGATATAATAAGATAGTTGTGATTTTTTTTTTCCTTTCAATTAAATAAATTGATTTCACATATCCAACTTTTCCCAAACTCACCATTAAAGTTTTCTGGGCTCAGACCCAGAAGTTTGCAGGCTGCATCAGCTAATTGAAATGAATCTCGTGTGTTGTCTCCTTCTGAACAATAGCACAATAAACAAGTGACTTTCACTCCTTGAGCCTACACAGATGAAGAAAGTTAGACAAGAATACGTAGAAGTTAAAAATAATTTCAGCTTTCAACCAAGTTGAATACCTTACAACAAGAAAACAATGCGGCAAATGGCAAGCCTGCATAATAATCATCATCAACCAATTCATCCTCAACATCAAGCTCATCTTCAGGAATAGTATTTCCTACGGCTAGATCAGCAAGATGCTTCCATCGTCTTTGAGAGGGATTATATTCTTCGAGTTTTTTAAACCCTAGCTCTTCACAGCTTTTATCAGTTCCATCATCAGTAGAACTTGAAAGATAGTGTATTTGAATACTGCAAGGTGATGATATCATCAACAAGAGCATACAACTTGGAAAGAATTATAGAGAAAATAGTACCAAGGCTATAACCAAAGTACCTGGATGGGTCAAATATTTTCCTTCTTCCAGAATCTAAGCTAGAGAGAATAAGAACATGCTTCTTTTTGATGGATGATATAAACCGGGCAAAATTTTTAGCAAATTCAACCATCATACCCTGCATCATGACGGGATAACGGTGAAAAGGTGTTAATCTTTTATGTCCGAGACAGCCAATGATAAGGCATCCTTCAATGCAAGCTAGTACAAACGATAATAGCTAATAAACAAGTACAAAGATTAAAACATAAGTCAAGAGACTCATTATCCACTTTAAACTAGTTAGCACAAGCAACAAACATAAGTCAATAATCTCAGTGATGTGCATTAGATTCTAGTTCTGTGCTCGTCCAATGTCGATGAACAAAGCCCTGATACTTGCATTTCGAGTACTTCCATCCTTGTTTTGGTTTTATGACATTAATGGCAATAAAAAAGGCTCCCATATTTCAACAAAAAGGTTTTAAGAAACTTCGAAGTACAAATGTCTTATAAAAATGAGGTGACAATTGAAATAAATCTAAAGGCCATCGAGAAAGAGAGAGAAAAGATATTGTAGCAAGGTCCTTACAGGATACAGAAACAAGGTGCATTGAAGGATAGTGGAGCTTGTATCTCCTTATAAACCTCCGTCCATTGGAGGTAGAAGCATCAAAGTCAATGTGTAGGCAGCTGTCACTTTCCCCAGTAGTGTAGCACTGCCTTGGGAGGTGATTGAGATATAGCATATTCAAAAATATTGATCCAATTAAGACAATAAATATTAGCCAGCTTAGGGTTATTTTTTACCTAGGCTTTCATGCAAACATAACAGGAAAGAGATGAAGGAAAGAAACTTATGGTTGGTTCACGCTCAGTCAAATATCATAACTGATTCACTAGAGTAACTTTATATTTCCCATCTTTTAGAAAGTGAAGTAATAGCTTAAGTTCAGTAAATACTGATCCCTAATTTTAGATATCTAATTTGGGTAATTAGGTTCTACTTTAAAATATTCACAACTAATTTTATTTCAGCTAGTGCTGAAATTATTGAAGCAGCTTCGAGGTTTTCCTCTCCGTCATTCCATTCACTGCTTCTTCTTGCATATTGTATTCTAGCATTACTAAACTAATCTTCAAATTTTTTTAAATACATATGCATATGGATAACCTTTTTAATACTACCAAAATCTGAACACCCACAAATGAAATTTTTATGTGCATTAAGTATTACAATTTTTTTTAAAACTATGTTTTCATCTTGAAACCCCGACATACATGAAATTAATAATTGTTCACCATTTTATCTTTCAGAAAAAAACAAAAAAGTGATAACAAAGGCCTCTGTTTAAAATATAACTTGAAATTAACATATTACTTCAATTTCTCATATCTTAGAATTACATATCTCAAAATAAATTACATATGACTTCTATACGTTAAAATTCTAAGGTAAAGTAAATTACATATTTTAAAATTACAACTCTAAATTATCATGTCAGTTCAAATCCAACCTTAAAGAAGAAGTTGAAAAAAAAAATGAAAGCATACTCAGTGAAATATATATTTTGGAATTTCGCATGATTAAAAAAAACATAAATTATAGAATTTTAAGAATCAATATTGAGCTATAAAAACCCCAAAAGCGCCTTAACTTCTTAAGATCCAATTTAATTATATCACTTCAATTAAGTCCTAGATATATTAAAATAACATAAACCTCAGGGACTGTAACTTGAAACAAATTCTCATATCACTTCAATCCAACCTTAATTGAGAAGTTGAGACAACATGAACATCAAATTAAAAAGAATGTTTATTTTAATATCAGCATACTCAATGAAATATATAATTTGAAAGTTCGCATGACGAAAAACATAAATTAAAGAATTATAAGAATCAATATTGAGTTGTACAAATCCCCAAGACCCCTAATCCTCTTAAGATCACAATTTAAAGTATTAAAAGTTGATATTTAATGAGGTAAAATTCTTATGATCAGAAATTAAAGTATTAGAAGATGAATTTTGATTAGTTTGTTTTTGTATAGAGAGAAAAAGGGCTAATTTCCGAATTGTACAGGACAGCATTGATCGTACATACCTGGATTAAGATGAAATTGATTTGGCTCAATTGTTTATCCCTCTCCTCCACCCCCCCCTCCCTCTCTGGAACGTTTATTCATGGGTTTGAGGGAACAGCAGAACGTGGCATAGTGACGAAGTTGGGGGCTATGTGGATAGAGGAAATAGTAGTGGGAGATGGAGTTTTTTAAACATAATTTCCAGGGATACAAATGCTGAGTTCGAATTAAAAATAGAGATATGCGGTTATTGTTACGGGTAGGATTTACTGTTCACATTGCACTTTTCCATCCTTTTGCTTTCATCAATAAAGTAGTTGATAACTTCTAGCATTCTTAACTAATGTCTTCATAGTCTGCTACCTATCCTGCTGCCATACAAAGATAAATTTGACTGTATGCATTTTGACATTCACTTTGTATTAAAGAAATAGCAGCTGACGCATAACAATGCAAGTTAAAGTTCCTACCTTCAGGACTGGAGATCTTTGCTGGATAAGAGTTAAAGAATGTTGAGGAGATTCATAAGCTGCACACACAGGCCCCCAACAAAAGAAGTAAATCAGTATTATAAATATACAACTGCAAGAATCAGATAGCAACTTTACAAGACGTCATCATATACTAGAAAATAGGTTCCACATATATTTACTGAAGAACTGTATGAAAGCTCAAAATCATCGCAGAATTGCGGATCAAAGATTGCTGACACAAGATAAGGTTGAGTTCAATGGACCTATTGATGAACAATGTCTATAGGTTGGAGATAATGAACTCATAGTTGTCTCCAAGATTGTACGCAAGGATATACAACCGAATTAAGTTTGTTGGAAGCTGGAATGAATAGTTAGTGGGTTGATTCCAATTTCAAAAAGTAAAGTTAATTCAGCACCCACTTATAGTTCTCAATATACAAGACTATAGATTGTCTTAAGAATAAAGGCTGCATGATCTGCAACTTTATTGAGAATATATTTGAAAAGGTTTCAGTTATTTCTGAATCTCTCCACTAGTCTCCCCAAATTTTTCCATCACCTCAACATGCTTTGAGCAGCTAATTTGCCTAATGTGCTACAAAAATACTTTAGCAATCCTCCACTACATCATATAACATTTTGGTTCAGCAATGTTATACAATTCAACAACTTGCCCACAACTCTCGAGTTATTAACGGGAAAAGCATCCAAAGATTCATGCCTAGCAATAGTGATTGACAACGTCTTTCTATTTCAATTTATGAAACTCTTATCTTCACAATTTATAAAATCAGTTTCGGCTACACATGATGTAATCCAAGATTAATAGAATACCTGGTGGTACTAAGGTTTGTATGCTTTCAAATTAAGGCTTAACATGACCTTAAACTGTCCTAAAATTACAGAAAAGATGGAAGTATTTATTTTATAGCATTGACTGCATTTATGGATCTAGACAAATCATGTAAGACCGAGAATTCCCATAAAAAGAGGAGAAAAAAAAAACTATTTCAAATTCACATAAAAAACAGATAGTACTACCATGAAAAACAAGATCATGATAAAACCTATCAGTTATATAAGCATGTGACGGTATCATTTGCTCCACTCATGATAAAACCACAAATCACATCTCTATGTAGAACCCTAACTGGGATCTTTCAGCTCAATCACGAGGGTCTAAATTGAATTGAACTTGAACTAAGTGGGGTCAAACAAAAATTAGAGAAAAGGGTGATAAATAAATAAATAACCTTCTAAGGGCAAAGCAAGAATGCCCTCAGGAACCGGACCATAAGCATCATTCCCAACGCAAGGAAGAACCGAAGGCTCGTCCAGAAACGCCACTCTTTTGGCTCCGCTCGACGATACCAATATATCGATCGCCAGCTGCCCCACGTTCCCAATCGACAACGCAGGCTACTCGCCAGGAAACAAAAAAAACAAAAAAATGAGTAAATAAATTCAAGGATTCCCACCTCAAATTGAAGAGATAAACCCTAGAATCAGAAAGAGAGAGGAGGAGGAGGATTTGGGGAGTAGACATAACCAGAAGAAGAGTGGAGCAATCGTCGCTGAGATTTGTGAATCCACCTTCCAAACTCATTTCCATTTCGACTGGATTTGGGGAGTCGACAGCGGTTTTTTGCGCTTGATGAAGAGGGGGCAGAGTGATACACTTCTGGTTAAGAGCTCACTATTCTGCGCAGCCTTGGGCTGTATTACATGATTACGGCCCAATACGTTATGGAGATACGTTCCAAAATTATCGGTTTCGGGATGGCTTGAAGGCCATAGGAAGATCGTGGTAATTCATAAATTATTTAAATAAAAAAAAAAGAGGGAGAGGAGGGAATTAGTCGTATAGATATCAGAGCTTTATCACCATGAGCTGAAGAACAGGGTGCATCACATATATATATCGTTGGAGTAATTAAGTTGAGGACTGGTTGGCGAACAAAAGGAATCATAGAACAAAGAAGATTTATGTGTAGCTTTTAAATTTGTGCTCGCGATATGCTTCCGTTTTTGTGTGAGAGAGTCAGATAAGTCAAGACATGCAGGGGAGAATACTAATCTATACTATATACTAAAGTAAAACCCGTAAGCCTCGTTTGGTACGCAGGAATAGGGTGGAATGAAATGATCATTCTCACTTCTTATTCATTCCTACCAAACACAACATCTTTTTTGAAGTTGGAATGTTAATTCTCACTTCTCATCAATTCTCACTTTATTTGGGAATGAGCATTCCCAATGAAATGATAGAGAATGGGCATTCCTACTTAAACGAGAATCAATAAAATATATAATTTTAAAATACATCAATTCCAACTTTATTTTATAAATTACACCCAAACATGAGAATGCAGAATGACTATTCCATTCTCACATTAATTCAATTCCATTCATTCTTCCATTCCATTTTCACTTGAGTCCATTCCCGCGTACCAAACGAGATGTTAATTGTCACTTGGCAGCTACTTAGAACTTTCGCCACTTGGCAACTTCCTAGAGTTTTTGGCCATTTGCCTTTCCATTTTTTTCATAAAAATCCGATTAATGCTAAGAAATTTTACATGTAATTATGTTATTGTATCATGAAGGATCTGCCTCCTTAACGTCCAGCCCGTTTATTAATAGTATCTTCTTTTATCTTTCATAATTTTATAATTAAAAAAGATATATTTTTCCAAAATAAACAGTAAAACTTAAATTATCCATTTAGTTGTGATATGATTAGAGAAGCTCTTTGTATCAACATGAACTCTTTCAAATTCAAATAACAGTTACAACTATTATTATTACGTCTCAAATGCTAATATACACACGTTCTTGCTTTTTTAAAGTATTATTTCATAGCGTACTCCATTTATGCATCAATTTTGACCGGATATGCTTTAAGGAGAAGGATGACAATTAGCAATTTAGCTAAAAATTTATTTATTTTTAAATATATAGGCTTCAATGCTGCATCTATTTATATCTATATCTATTTATCTACCTATCTATATACTAAAACAAAGCCCTTATAAGGCATGTAACATGATTTTAGAGATTTGACCTTTAATATTCTCTCCTATCTATATCTAATGTTATAGCATAAAATATACTAATGTACTATATTACTATCATATTCTATTGTTAATTTGTTAGCTATGAACCGGAATGTTTTTCAAATTCTATTGTTACTCTTAGAAACTCGCTGATTTCCATGAACTAAGATTTGAATAATGACCATTTATATCTCTGTCCCCTCTACATTCTATTAACGGAAAAGCCCAAAATTTAATGTCTTTAAAATCTAAATTTCAATTGTAATAGATTAAGATCATTGATAAAATGCTCTTCCAAAATGTGAGAAAATTTGGTCTTTTGCATATAAATTTATTATTCTAATCTCATTTCAATTGATCATCTTCTCTAGGTAAAGGATTGTTCATGTAGATATTGGACAGGCTAAATGAGAAGGTAAATATCTCCTATTGCTTCCTTTGTTTTTTTAGAACTTCTTTTTATTATTGTATTGAGTTATTTATCGTATCAGCATTGCTAGCATGAAAAACTTAACACGAATTATATATTATTCCACTGTATGACTAATGATTTGACTAATGATTGACTATGTTGTAATATAGTCAAATGATTCAAATACAATTGATCATTTGGTTAATTTTTTATATTTATGGAATATTTTCACAGCATTAGAATACATAAAGATTTGTTTCGTTAGAAAATTTTATAACAATTTTCATAGTTACAGGGACAATTAGAGATATAACTCTATGAGATTTTTTAGATATGTCCAACTATATTTCAATTACTTTTTTTAGCATCTTTAATTTTGCACATATTGCTTGAGCATTTAGAGTAAATAAAGTCTATCCAACTTTGAAAATATAGAGTAAATATTTGCGGGTATAAAATTAATTGTCAACAAATGTATATTCTTTAAAAGAAATACCGTGCATATTTGTAAAGATTTCATATCTATCTACGATACTATAATTAAAATTTTCTGAGGTAGCAAAAATTTTAAAGGAGAGGAGGAATATCACTTCACATGAATATTAAATATTTCACAATTCTCTATGTACCATCTTTCTTATATACAATTAATTTAAAACTTTTAACACATTCCCTCCTTAGCAAACAATACAATAAAAACACTTTTAAAATAAACATTCTACAAGAAGATACAAAATTTTCAAATAAAAAGTAAAAAAAATTAAAATATTGCAATTACAATTATTAAATCTTGGAATCTCAAAATTTTAAGGGAAATTTTGTATATCAAATTTAAACTTGAGATTTTTTCTAATCATATACACAATTAATTTAAAACTTTTAACACATTCTCTTCCTAACAAACAACACAATAAAAAAACTTTGAAAATAAACATTCTACAACCGACAAGAAAAAAAAGAAAGAAAACAAACATTCTACAAGAAGATACAAATCTTTCAAATAAAAATTAAAAATAAACTAAAATAATGCAATTGCAATTATTAAATCTAGGAATTAATCTCAAAATTTCAAGGAAAATTTGGTATATCAAATTCAAACTAATTCTTTTCCTAATCATTTTCAGAATGGAATACAATAGTGGACAACAATACTAAAGTATCTTTTTAGTTGCTAAATAAAGTTTTGAAAATTAAAGCTTTTAAAATCATAAAATGATGGACCCCAAATATAAAAATAAAGAATATAATATGAACATTTAAAATTATAAACTTAATATTTATATTTTAAAAATCTAAGTTAGGACTAGCTATTTTTTTCCTTTTTAATAAAAAAATTTGAAATATAGTTTTAATATCCGGCACGCGCATTTGCACGTGCAAAATAATTAATATAACTTGGATGAACAGCTATGATAGTTAATATTAATCTAGTGTACTACATAGCGATGCTCCAGTTTTTCTTTTTCTTGTTTTAAATTTAATAACATAGGTATGAATTTTCTTTTAGCTTTATTTTTGTGGAATTGTGGGGGATTTACGGGTAAAAAGCAGAAAAAAGAGGGAAATTGTGAAGATAAAAAACCGGAAAGAGGTTACATTAATTGGACCCATAATTGCAAATGGGCAACCAAGAAATTGTTATTTTTTAACGAATATTAAGTCCTCTGTGTATTTATTCGCGGAGGAATCAACCAAGAAGATTAATAATATATCTCTAACGTGGCCCCCGAATAAACAAAGTAGTCAGCTCCCCTGACTTTATTCAAGCTTATCCAGAATAAAAACGATTACAAGATTTTGTACTTATCTGATCGCTCGATTCTTACTCGTCACCGCAAACAATAAAATAAACCGCGTTGTCTAAACTTTAACAAATCAATCTCATATCTAATAAAATAAGATTCAACAAGATTAAATAAAGCCCCTTCCTTTATTTCTTTACCGGCCGGGCAATCAGAATCAAGATTGAGACCAACTAATCATCTAGCATTTTTATTACCAACTTCAACAAATTAACTACAACATCATCAACAGCAAAAGAATTAATGTGCAGAGATAGTTATATAACTAAAGCCCATCAAGGAGATGAGAAAGCATCCTCCAGCCATCCATCAGCCTCCCTCTCCTTCTCCTCTTGCCCCCGCTTCGCAGTAAAAAATGACCACATTGCCCCCTGAATCCGGTTCACCCGCTTCCGGTGTCGAATTCTACGAAGCACCACCTCCTTCTCAAAGGATCTTCCGTCAGCAGCCTCATTGCTTCCTTTGGGCTTGAGATAGAGATGGCTAGTAACATTAACATCGTGGCTTAGAGGGTTCGTCTCATCCTCAAAAGAGGAGGACGGGGTGGATGAATTGGACGTCGAGGGCTTTTTGGGAATTATGAAAGCCATGGATCCTTTACAGAGAGCAATTCAATGATAGTGAGATTTTTAAGAGTAGAGGGGTTAGGAGAGAGGAGGGGAGGTGGGGTGTTTTATAGAACTTTTTGAGTGGGACGTGGTCTTGTTCGTTGTTTGGTTCTGACAAGGACGGCAATGGGGGGAGAGAACTCAATTAAGGAAGCGTGAGGTGGCAGTTAGCAAAGCTTTTTAATTTCATTGGATGTATAGGAATTTGGGGTAGAGATCGTGAGTCACTATTATAAGCTCACTTTATTAGTGGGTGCTCTGAGTAATTGTCGGGGTAAGTATTAGGTCGATGGGCACTTACCAATACGAGTGTTGAGAGCTCTAATGCTAAAGCTACTCACTGACACGTGGGCCCAGAGTACCCCCTTGTCCCTGATACTATCTTTAATAAAGGATAATTCTAGTAGTAGTAGTGATAACTGTACTATTAAAGTCATGATACATCATACATACATTGATACCTTCCTACTCACATAAACAAAATAGCAAGGTACATGGTGACTCGCACTTTTTCTTGATAATTTTTAGGAAAAGACCCCGCACATTTGTTAGTAATAATACAAGAGTAGTATGAAACTTGTAATAGCTTTAATAGTATACCTATCGCTACTCTTTTCCTAATTTTCTAGCTAAACAACTCATTTCAAACTACTTGTGCATTTCTTACACACACAAGCGTGAGGTCCTTCCAGTTGGATTGCCATGAAAATTGATGAGTCATCATAGACCCCCACAATACTTAGGTGTGATAATGTATATGTAGTTTTGAAAATATAGTGTATCACTACTTAGCTTAAAATAAATCAATCAACATGAAATGCTAATAAAAATTAGTATCAATTTTGGAAGAAGGAAGAATTTTTTTAACATGGAACCAAAAACGTGAAAAATGTACGAAGATTCAAAGCACATTTTCCAGTCAGTTAATAATATCTAAAATTAGTCAAAAGAAGAGTGAATATGAATGGAGACGGAGGTTTCCGTGAATGGAGCATGAAAAAGGGCAAGAGATGGGTAAACGCTGAAGATATCTAAAACCAGTGGGCATCTTGTTCTGTTTGTTTCTCTCGTAACGAAACAGATGGCGGCCGTAATTGTTTTAAAGGTCGACCGCTGTATTAGAGAATGTTGGCTGTCAGGCTTGGCCCTCTCGCTTGAAGAATATATAATTGTATGATTGCAACAAGTAGAAGTCCTCGCAGCCCACTGGTATTGTAACTTTCCAATATATGAATTAGCTCCGATCGATGAACATCTTTTCATTTTTCCCAGAAAAAGAAAATGGGAGAAAACTTTATGGTTACACATGGAATTGTGCACGGATGTATATATTAACATACATTTCAGTTTGGCTAAGTACAACTTGTCCAAATTCAAGATATCGTAACCCTGCAGCTCTAATAGAGACCTGGCTTCACAAGAAACCACGCGGTTGAAAAAGATAAACAGAACCATTAATTTTTTTTTTTTTTTTACCTAAGCCGAATAGAGTAGGCCGTGCTTGCTTTGAGGCAAAGTGAAAGAAAAGAAAAGGAAATGGAAAAGGAAAAGAAGAAGAAAATGAAATAAGATTATTTTTTATGTTTGATTTGGAAGAAACTTATAGAAAGAAATTCAAGGAAAATAAATAAAAATATAACAGAAAATACAATTAACAAAAATATAAAGAGAGTTCTCTGCATGATTTTTTTCATACGTGTAAAGTGTACTTAAACCTCCATAAATAGCCTAGTTGGGTCCATGAAACTGAATGCAATGGCCTTAGTCCTGGTGAGGCCCACACTTAATGAAGGGAGGATTATACTGAGCACAATGGATAGTGACGTCAAGATAGAATGAAATCTCAGGGGCTGTTGCCAATTGACCCACTAGATTCAAGGAAGAAAATGAGAACGAAAATTCTATTGGCTCTTTTTTTTTTCTTCTAATTATTGTTTTCATTTTCTTCTTACCTTTCCATATAATCTTTTCTTTTATCACTCTGATTTGTTTGTAAAAATAGTACAAATTTTACATAATGCAAAATTTCGGCAGGCAAACAACCGTTCCACACAAAACAATCATGCAACTTTCAGACCTTCCCCCTTCCTTTCCTTAATATATCTTTTCTATACATGCAGCAGATTTCCATGCTGAAGTTACACGTTGACCTACAAGTTCACTAGCCTTGTTTGTTATCAAGGTAACTTAACAAGAACCCGCTCACAATCCGTCTTGCAATCGGATTGGGTATATGACGGCAAAGTCTCCCATCCAAATAAGCAATCATACCTGAAAAGACGAACTTACCAACGGCCCATTTCTTACTAGAGTTTTGCTGGCTCCCACCTGAAGATGCGTCTCCTCCATCTCTGGCATTCCAGTTCCATTTGATTCCAATAGTGAATCTATCGGCATGTTTCCTCATCATTCGAATTGTGAAACTAACAAACAGGTGTTCACACAAAGTAAGCACTGTTGGCCCGATCCTCCACTCCTGCAGCATTTAAATACATGCACAGAGAACAGGTTACAGTTCAGCTTGCGGTACGGAATGGGCGTACCAAGATTAAATATGTGAGAAGGAAACACAACAGGGAACTAACAGAGTAATGACAACACACGAGAAACAAAAACTGTTATGGCAACTTATGAAAAACAGCACTATTTCAGCCTCATAGTACTTACTGATCTTGTAATATGAGTACAAGCTATAACTGAAATTACTATATTTCATATGCAGAATAATTTATAGAATCCCACTTATAATTATTCCACTCCATTATACATACAACCTATCATTAAACCAACAGAAAAAAAGCAGTTCAAATTTTACAAAGTACGAGTAAGTTCCAGCACTCAAATCTTTTCCTGATATTATCTTACTGTCCCAGATTTTTTTTATGTACAGGGAATTTAAATCTGAAATGCTGTTAACTCCTTATAAATGGAACTGTACTGATTCTAACCTAGAAGTCAAGTTCGTTCCTAACTTTACAGAATCTTTAACAGATCTATTTGAACCTTAAAACAACCAAAAAAAAAATTTGAGCCATCAACAAGTTCAACTTAATGTAAATGTATATTGAAAAAGATGTTCACATATGAAATTACAAACTAACATGCTTAAAAGTCTAAATTGGAACTGGATGTCCATGTAAAATTACTAATTAGTCTCTGGTGGTGCTGCTATTAGATTGACATAGCAAGTTTATGCTCGATAAAATCATCCAAACACTTAAATAGCCCTTCTACACGAACATCAATCTTTACATCTAGGAGATATTAAATATACCTACAATGTCCAAGAAAAATTTTCATCATGGGAAAAAAAAAAGAATGGACACCTACACTTTCAGCTCGCAGGTGCCGCAGTGGACGAGAAACCATGGAAGGATCTCCTTTCAACAGGGCCTTGCTAATAAGAAAGCTCCTCACGTTTTCCACGATTTCATTTATGACAAAACTATTCGGTGGTAGGTTTTTGAGGACAACCTGCCAGGAAGGGTCAGGATTATATTATATGAAACCCGGAGAACGATATAACCAAGGATAAAAAACAATTAGTTCCCTTAGGAGCTTATATGTCAAATATACCTTATGCAATATATCTCTAAAATGTCCTCTCCATAGAAGTACTTCAAAAGTTGATAAATGACGTAACACAGTGGGCATTTTATTAAGAAATCTGCATACAGGTCGCCGATTTTTTTTTAAAGTTTTAATTTCTGGTTTACATACAACTACATAATTAATTTTAGCGGAGAGGAATACATAAACAAGATCAATTATGTGAAAATATATTCTTATCAAGTTGTTTCTGTATTCTGATCATTTATTCCCAAAAAATTTAACCACGTGGGCATTATGGTCAGAACAACTGTCTATGGCCATGCATTTTGAATAAGAAACACTTGACGTAGAAAATATTTGTAAAACATTACTATGCATTTTCCTTTTAAACCTTGGAGGAATAATCCAACAAGCTTAACTGGATTATGGCTAGAACCGAACAAACGACATCTTACCAGGTTGTCTATCACCCTAACACGCAGATATTCTTGTTTGTACATAACGTCCAGCATAGCCTGTAGGTATCCTTCAATATATAGCTGCACCACATTTTCATGTTAGAATAATCAAATTGTACAACTGGATCATCTTTTAGAAAGGTTTATTAGGAGAAATCAGGAGTTTTTTTAAGAGATATAAAACATCAGTATCATCCAAAATCCCTAATAAATTGCTTCTTTTAATTCAGTACATGCTTGTTTAGGGGGAAAAAACTCTTGATGCAATCATGCGTCCATCCATCCATCTATATGCGCGCGCGTACACACACATAGATGCAGACATATGTGCATACATGCAAACAAACAAACACACATACATAGATACATACATAGATATATATAGAGAAGTACCTCATCAACTCCAGGACTGCGGTCAAGCTTAATTTTTCTGTCTGGACCACCCTCCAAAACAGCAGACCCTAACAGGGAAGGCTCCATTGCTAACCTTAGAATTCCTTGGTGGAAACCATTAACCTTAATGAAATTCATAATCCATAACGAGATTATTATAAAAAGACGTTGAGTCTTGGTGGAAATTTAAATGATTATTTCTCACATGCAAACAATAATTCCTGCTTGTATTAAAGCTTACCATTCCATTAAAACCACTTGCTTCTGCTCCTTTCAGTATACTATCTGAAATTTCAGTGACAGCAGCAAATATAACATTGGAACCTGCTATTCTTATCTACAGGAAACATCATGAAAGAAATATAGACCAACCATTATCAAACAATAATTCAAAATTAAAGATAATAATTATGAACACTGGAATGTAAGATTTACTATTTTTCCCAAATCACCAAAATAGCGCTTTGTTCCTGAGAAGCCCTTCGAGTCAATGCATTTGCTAATGAATTTGAACGTACCTGTAAACATAGTAAAATACATAGTTTATCCCATGGAAGGAAGAACTTATAGCAATGCATTTCGGCTAAATTAATTTGATCTGTGCAATAAAGATGACTGAATATAATTTATTGACATATTTTCAGTTAAAAAACATGAAATAGATGCAAACAACGGGTGCTCCTATCAACTTTAGGATTGTTAGAATATAAAATCATAGCACAAGATCAAAATATAGCCCTCAACCCTCAACACAACTTTGACGTTAGGCTGCGGTGGGGCATTTTATATGGTATTAGAGGACCCCCAATTCAAATCCCATGGGCCATGAATTTAAAGCGAATTAGGGGCAAAAAAGATACCACTACGTAAGTTCAGTATCGGCCCATGAAAAAGGGCGCTCAAACTGATGGGCAGGTCAGAATATAAATTAAATCCCTCAACCCTCACGAGAACATCGAAGTTTTATGACCCGTAATAAGGATAATATTTGTCTTCTCATTAGCTAGGGTGCGCTAGACTAATGTTTCAGAAAGCGTCCCAGGCAGGGAGCCTAGGCATAGCCGCTGAACAAGTCGGATGAAACCTTACCTAAGGTAAGTCCTGGGAGACTAATTGAGCCATCTGAAGGATCAAAGAACACATCAAGAGAGGATGAGGCAATATCATCAAATATTGAGGCAAAGGCAGGTGGTAGCAATGGGCTTCCTTTTGCTATGTAGATAGCCCTAACAATATACCTACAAAATCACAAGCTCTGTTAAATAATTTGCATGAGGCATAAAAAGTTTCCAAAGAAAGGCTTAATGCAGCAGCTGAAAAAAAATACCATGAATAATGTTGTGCACATTTTATAAGCAACTCGTGAGATGTTACAAAAGCATGAGTAAGAAGAATCCCATTTAGCTCCACAATTTTGTTGTTTACAGCAGGCACCTAAAATTAATTCAACTAGTGAGCAAAATCTGGAGGATATATGAAAACACATACATGTGGAGTACAAAGAGAGCCATGTGGTTTAGAGCAGCACCTTTATAACGCTGTGAAACAAAGACCTCAAAGTTTCCTGAGCAGAGCTATAACTGGAATATGGATTGCCAGGAAGAAAGCTTGCTGTGATCTTTAAAAAGCAAATAGGAAGCAGATAAGAATGCAACATTGTGAAAATAAAGGTGTATGTGATGTCAAAAGGGTGACGAGTGTGAACCAGTATACAATGCTAAAAATACAAACCTTAATCGGATGTATCTCAAAGTGCTTGAAGTAGAATTGCTGGCTCTGTGCTCTAGAGGTGCTGAGGGACTGTCTCCAAAATGCAACGAGCTTCATTAATGTCTCCTCATCAACTTTTAAATCAATTGGCTGCGGAAATGATGCAATTGGTTTAGGCTAAATATCTTTCTCATTATGACTGCAAGTCTGCAAGAACCACTAAGCTGTAGCATTCATCAAAGCACATCACTAAATACTTACTTGTAATATAATAGAGGAATACTTGACTTCTTTAACATTTGAGTTGGACGACTTGAGAACAAATACAATCTGAAGAATGTTCTCATTGGACCCAGAATCATGCATTTGACTTCTTCGAATCATGGATGCAAATGGGGCTCCTTGCCATTTTTCATCAATATTCAGCATCTGCATAATCAGAATATCAGTCCGAGAGACATAAAAAACTGCATATAACATAATCATACAGGGCCAGTTTTACCTGAATGCCTATGAAGTAATATCTTAACTGATCCGTAACCAAAGAGTCCAAAGCAATATTCGCAAGCCTTGCAACTAGAAACGTCGAACAAGTTGGCAGCTCACTTTCATCAACATCCTTTGACAAGTACAAACGTGTAAAGACATCAAAACTGATGTTACAACCTATACAGCTCAGAAATTATTTACTGGCACAAGAACAATCGCACACAAAAAGGAGAAGAGACGGGAGAAAGAGAGAAGAAAAGAAATAAAAAGAAACAGATGTCAGTGAAGGTTCAAATCTTGCTTATACATCTGAAGTCCCATTAAACCAAATAACGCAACATGCGGCTGAGACAAGAAAAACTTTCATTAAGAAAAAGTCTTCTGTCTTATCAGATGACAAACTTTGATGGCAGAGAACAACTATGTCATGTTTGGCAATTTTGGATTATAACCTACTTGGTTCATAATCCACAAAGGGATTATAAGCCAAAGTGTTTGGTAAATTGAGTGGATTATAAGTCATTCCCAATAGTAAAGTGTTTGGAAAATGAGTGGCTTATAATCCACATTTGTTGTCAAGATGAGCACTAAGGGTTTTGGAGATAGAGAAATAGGGTTTTGGAATTTTCTTAAATGCTAAGGGGCAAAACGGTCTTTTACTCCGTCAAACTATGTGGCTTACAAAGCCACCAAAATAACTAGGTTATCCCAATTTTTTTTAATAAGCCAAAATAAGTTGTTTGCCAAACATGTCTCAGTGGCTTATGAGCCACTCTAACCAGTTGCCAAACATGCTATTAGTATGAATAAAAAAAACCTGATTCAGGACACTGGTATCTGAATAAATTTAAGTGGAAGTTTTGGATGTAAGCCCTTGAAGTTCAACAAACTGATGGCCCAAACTAACCAATTTCATGGACATGAGTAAGGTTTTAGTCCAACCGTCAAGGCTTATTGGTGGTCAACCAGGAAGACGATGGGTAACACCAATCATTTTGGTTCTAAGCTATGTGGGTAGTCTTGTACTCTCATAAACCCACAATTAGGTCTTCATTTAGTAAATGTGGGCCTAACTGAACCTCAATATGATAATTACTAGTCTAGTGTATTGCCAGAGGGCTGATGTCAGAATTGCAATGCAAGATCGGTACTAGACTAGTGCAAAGTCAGCCCATGTGATGAAGGGACAATGAAAGCATGGTGTTATATTAGGATTCAGTTAGTCCCGCATTGACTAAATGGAAAGTGTATTGCAGGTTTATAAGAGAGTTAGGTTCCCTCCCTCTTCAAGGGTAAGTTTTGCCAAAACCGTGACAACCAGGAAGAGGTATTAATAGATAAAGCGGCCCTCAGCAAAACTTAATGCCAAAAGGTATTCAACCATTCAACATAAAGTATTTGAAAGAAAGGATTTGTTTTGCTGTTAGAGTGCAGGATAATGTTTTAGTGATGTATGTATACGAGTGCTAAAATTGTACTCAGAATGAAGTTCATTACTCGACTCCTTGAACTTACACAAAGAATTCTTCTATACAGCAAACAACTCAACAAGTGGATTTACTTCAATACATTAATAGATTTAAATTCAAATTCAAAGGAAAAATTTATAAGAATGGTCACCTGTTTGCTTTTTTCAAATAGGTGTATTGCAAAATTAGAAACCTTAAACTGGAAACTGATACAAGGTTGAAGCACCTTCTCTTCCTTGTAACTATCAGCACGCTCACAAATTCGTAAGACCCTGGTAGGACCATCAGCATAAACCTGATATCCCAACTTAAACACTTCCAACCCGTGCAATTCTTCAGTTCTCTTTTCAACTCTGAATCCCGTAACTGATGGGAAATGTATAACCATGCCCTTCTGTTGCCGCATTTTAAATAATGGTTTCCATGAACAAATCTTATCAATATTTATTTCACGAACTAGGTGAAAATCTATGAAAAATAAACCAGGATCATTAACATAATAATTGTACCTTAATCTTGAAAATGTAATAAACTTACATATTAAAATTTGACAGAAATTAGAGCAAGTTTACAGGCAAAAACAGAAAAGAAAAAGGAAAAAAACAAAAAAAAAAACACTTAAGCTTGAAGTTTACATAAAAAGAGCAAGTTGCATTAATGGGATTTAAAATCAACTTTCACATATTATAATGGAATTCTTGCATATGTTCAAAATAACATTTAA